GTTTTGGTGCTCTTCATAGCACTGAGCCTTTTTTCTTCAGATCTCAACGGGCAGTATCTGGACTGCAGAGGATTCACAATGACGTTCTTTGGTTCTGTCACTGAATGGGTGGCTGGTTGCTACTTCTCTTGGTATGGATGAGGAATAAAGTAGCGACTGGTGGGAATGTTCCTCTTGGGAAACTAGATGACACCTAAGCAGGAAGTTGTCGTGTCTGACTATGTTTTTGCTGGCAGTTTGCTTGGCAGTTTGCAGGAGGATTATCCATGGAGACTGGAAGGAAGTGTAGGAAGCAAAAACAAGCCTGTTCAGCTGGACAGAGACCAAGCAGGGGAGAAGCATCTTGACCTAAACCATGAGAAAACTTAGTGCAGAATCTTCTCCGGAAGTACGGCAACACTTAAGGGAAATGTCGTCTTGAATGTGTGTGTCAGATGAAGTGAAACAAAAACCTGAATGTACGCGTCCTCCCTCTCCTGTGCCGCTGACTGCTGACAGGGAAGATGAGAGCAGTTCCCGTTCGAGGTCTGTGATGTCTCACAGGATTTTGGAAATGAGCACACAGCCCCAGTCTGGGAGACTTTTCTCCTCCCCTGTTTCAGAGTCAGGCTGTTGAGCTGCCATGGCAATCCGTGACGGAGAACTGCTCAGTGTGGAGAAGGGTTTCTGAATCACGCTGTATAGGATGAATAAGTGCTACTGTTGTCCATCCAGCTTTGAGCATCCTAAAATCACTGCTCATGAGCTGTGGGTTATGTGAACCTCATTACTTAGTGGTTCTTCGTGACAGATGGTTGGAGTGGAACTTGCGTTTCAGGAGTCAGATCCAAATTTCCATGGAAGAAGCTGCTGAGGAGTGAAGGGGCTTGTTAGATTGTTTCTTCATTTCTGTAATTGTTTTTTTTAATCTTTGTGAAAGTGCTGTCCTCCCTCTGGATTTTCATACAACTTTTGGCATTGAAAATTCCCGGTGATCCTCACTGTGCTTTACAGAGACCAGAATATAGATCCGTTCAAAGAGCACATCCTAGTAACACTCAGAATTTGTCCATGTGTCACCAGTACTCGTGTAGAGCTGGGGGCCTAGAGGCCTTTCCAGACTTTCAGGGTAGAACTCTGCCTCCTAATTCCCTTCCATTACCTTTGTCTTTGGCTCACGAGATGAGGAAGGCGGCCGGAAATCTCTAGGATTTATGCAAGGCTCAAGTAACAAAACTGTAAAACCAGAGCTCTCAGTATCACATTAGAAACCTGCCCTCAAAATTCAAACTGGCCAGAGATGCAGGTACACCCAGCCAGGCCATGGCAAGCAAATAGTGCTCCGGGATGGATGGGTGGATGGATTTGGAGGAGGAATGGGTTGCTCATGTGGCAGTTAAAGATGTGGAAGGGAACTAACAAGGGTCAAGAATGTGTCCCCTCGGGTGAGTGGGGAAAATTACGTGGGATCGGTGGATCCACAGTTGCTGCAGGTCCCCGTGCAAGGGATTCGTGAGCGTGGCTGTTAGAAAGCGACCCTCCCAGAAGGCACACGGTCTGGGAGCCGACTGACTGTCCAGGCACTAGTTCTGAGTGTTCATATCCAGAGTTCTCTCGATCTCCACTCTTCGTGGCAGTGAAGACGCAGGCGAGCCAGTCCAGCAAAAAACCACCGGCTTCAATAAACCGATGTTCTACCCTCCTGCACCGCACCCCCTCCGGTGTCTCACCGGCATCCCAATCCCAGATGTTCCGCGCTCCAAATTCTGGATCCCCAGGAAGCAAGGCCATCACAGGTACCAATTGCCTTTCTACCATCGACTTTCTTAACTGCTTAGTGTCCAATCCTGCCCTGGGTTGGCGTTTGACTCTTCTTGCACTCCTTTTGCCCCATCCATGACTGTCCCAGAAAAGCTGCTCCCAGAAGCAGTTGAGGGGATTAGATCCTTTGGCATGTTATAAATAAAATGTTACATCAAGAGTAGGTCTTCATAACCTCTTCCCAGTGACAAGTTGGGCGGTTTAAGCATCATCCTAACCACGGGGTACAAAAGACCCTGTTTCAAATCCTGGTGTCACAAACTGAGGAGAGTTTCCTGACAAGAACTGGTGTACTGGCTTGTCAGGTGTGGGGCGATTTTGTCTGATTTTCAGCTTTATTTGGCATTTAGTGTTGTGTTTCCCTCAAGGTGATGTTTTCAGGGCTAGGCCTGTGCCTGTGGAAGTGAAATGGGATACAGGTGTTTTCACAGTGTTCCACCTCCCATCGAGAGATAACCACCAGCAGCAAAATTAATGGTGCAGAACCATTAGGGAGATGTTAGAAGCCTCAAGTTAAGATTGATCCTTCCTGTTTCCTCCTTCCAAACAAGATCAAACCTCAAAAAAAAAAGATATTTTAAAAAAAGCAAAGAGCATTGAAAAATAACTATTAATAAATAGGATGTGAGACATAGCATTCATATGTCCAGGCAGTAGGGAATCACTCTCTTAAGCCTGTGGGGTTGATTGGTACATATTCCATGTCCGTATAGAAGGGCTGGTTAATCAGCTGGTGTTCAGACACCCCTGCAATGTCTGGCAGGGACAGATGCTGACCAAGGATGCTTTTTGTTAGATGACACACACACATCTGCAGCTACCAGTGCTGCAGCGTGAGTCTGGAGATTCCATATTGCTACTGCACCCCTTAAACATTTCCATGATTTTAGTACTGACTGGAGGTCCAAGTCCCAACCAAGTTAGGAGTTAAAGCTGAGACACTTTTTCATTATTTGCTTGAACTTGCAAAAATTGCTTCCAGTTTTACATCTCTTATAAAAAAGTGGAAAAACTGGGAGCCTTCCTAGGTCAGAGGGCAGATCCATGTGAGCAGTAACTGAGAGATGGTTTTTGTAACGGCACTTCTTTCCACTCACTTCTCTAATCAAAAAATTTATCAGTAACTTCAGTAAAAACTTTGAGCTGTTCTCTTCCTGTATGGAGGAAGGAATCGCACAATGCTTGAGCCTGGCAGACTGATCTTCCAGAAACGACATTACTCTGGGGTCCTACCCTGTCCAGCTGGTGGCAGCATTTCCATGGTAGCTTTCAAGGCAGCGTCTTGTCCAAAATGACCTTGAGCGGCTTCTTGAATTTTTGGTACAAATGCATTGACCATAACGCCTGTCAGGAAGATGGTCTCCAGAAGGGCTGCCTCCCAAGTGCTGTGCTTCGAGGTGTTCCCCATGGGCCTGGATAATACCAGAGGTGGTGGAGTGCCTCTCTGCTGACAGTGTTTGCTCAGACGCTTAGTGGAGTGGCGCTTACTTTGTCCATACAGATAATTTTGCTTTGCGTGCCGAAAGGTCAGGTGGAAAGGCAGAAAGATAAAGAGAGAAAACTTGTATCAGCTGTCCTCTCTTGTGTGGGAAGGACACAGTAAGACCAAGGAGATGCATTAAACCGTTTTTTTTCTTATTGCCACACTTGGCAAAAAAAAAATAATAATAAAAGATGGGTAGGGGATAAAGACAAAACTACCATGCAGATTTTTTCCAAACATTTTTGGAGACCTCCAACTCGCTTCCACTTGTGACGTAAGCCAGGATTTGAACTTGGTTCTCTTGGGGGGGTAGGTTGGCCTAATCCATTTTGTTATGGTCTCTCTTTTCTCACTGTGTCATCTGATTTTCTCGTTACCTAAGCGCTCTCATTGTTATTATCTAGCAAGGGGGCTGGCCTAGATAATGTCTTCAGTTCCTTTTCAGCCCTGTTTTATGTGATTCTGATTAGATCACCAAGTTTTCCTGTTCTGCATTTTAGAGAATCAGGAATGCAGTAGATTGAGAATTTAAGAAGCCTGCTCAGGACTTGAAAAGGGACTGGCTAGACCAAAAGTCACGGGCCGGGAGCTTTGTGCAGATCTTTTCTAGCTCAGCAGACATCAAGCCCAAGTGCTCGAGCACAGGGAGGCTGCGCAGCTGCAGGGAGCAATTAAAGTCATGGCAGCAGTTCCGAGCACTCCAGGTGGTCTGCGGAAATACGTAGTGAAATAATGTTCTGATACCGATTTTCCACAGTCCCTGTCACTCCTCAATGAAAGAATCCTCCCTGTAGAATTCCCTCGCTGCTGAGCCCAGCAGAGCCTTGCTAAGCCGTGGTCAGATGAACCCGCTGGGTGACAGTGAGCTCCATGAATGAGTCCATGTATGGGAAGAGTCTGTGCAGCGTAGATAGATGCATTAATTTGTCCGGTTCACCTTTCATTTTATTTATTTCTACTTTATCCTTTGAATCACCACAGTAAATACATTTGCCCCAGATATTGCAAAGCTGGCCGAAGTGAGACGGGACCTCACACGGTTTGTACTCCTGAACTTGTGCTGAGGGGCAGCAGCTTGAGAAGGGTGGGAAGCTCCTCAGCTCTGCTGCACGGTGACGTTCCCAGACACTCTTGGAAGGCAGAGAGGGCTGGAGGATCTCCCGTAGCTTTGCCAGACATCATGGGCAGGCTCTGACACAGCCCCTGAGCCCTCCACTTGGGTCATACAGGGAAGGTTACTGGGAAGGGAACGCGGGTTACTGGGAAGCCCAGGGAGAGCTGGCGTAGGGCTTCTGTGGGTGACACACTGCGTATTGTGACGAAGAGCTGGTTTCGATCTGCAGACCTGGTCACCTGTGCCAGAGACTTTAAGGGCTGCTTATTGCCTTGAGGAAGAGTAAGATAAGGGTTGGGTTTTTTTGCAGGGGAGGAAGCCATGACCCTTCTGGTTCAGTCAGGACTGGTGTTCATGGGCTCCCTAAGAGCCAATCCAGGCCACCTCAGCCAGAAGGCATTCAAGACAAATACCTACCTGTTATCCCTTCAATGAATCTGGCCCATTTGCCTCCAAAACGAGGTATTTGACCTTTCTGCTGTATTCAGGGTATGCAATTACGTGGCACAGGAGCATATTGTCTTGCCTCCTGTCTGTGTGCTTCTGCCTCCTGTATTGACCAGTCACCATCCCTGCTTTGTTCTCCACCCAGCAGATAGAGTGGAAGGCAAAGCGCAAAACAACTTTGAAGAAACAAACAGCAATTCGCAGAACTCCAGCGGTAAGTGTGTTCAGTTCCTCCTGCTCTCGCTTACTACGTCCCTCTCCAGAGCAGGATTCAGCTGTGGTTGGTGATGGGTTATGTATTTGGGTACCTGGGCTTCCAGGGGTGGTGCTGCCTTCTCGCTTCTCCCCAGGTTCCTGGCACTCCAAGCCTGTAAAAAAGGTTGTATCGGGATCCTGCTCCCAAGGTCCAGGTACTTCAGCGTAATTTTCAGTGGGGAGAAAGGATAATATGGATGGAGATAAAGCAGTAGTTGTACTTTGTGCATCATTTGCTCCTTACAGAGCAAAGCCATTTGCTATGAACAAGACAAGTCTGAAGACTGAATACAACAGCAGTTTGCATATTACAGTGATGCTAAACCTGGCAGTTTATTTACACGTCCCTGTAACCAGAGTCCGGCTGTTGGTGAGGTCACGGCGTACCAGATGTGTAGATGTGGGATGAAAATGCATGTGCTAGAAGGAATTAAAATGTACTCCAAATGTGGAATTTCCTTTAAGTCTAGGTGGTGGTAACTAAACATGACCGCTGGCCTTGACAATTTTCTTTGGGTACACCATTTATATGATACCTTTACAAACAGATTTTTATCCTGCCAATGTATCCCCCTGCCATAAAGTGGGACGCTGCCATTCTTTTATGCTCCCTAAATGGAGCATAAGAGACAGACCAAATGAAATGGAATTTTGGCATCTTGGTGTAGAGATTAATAACAAGCAAACAGAAAAGGCTGATGTCCCTCCATTCCCCAAGCATGAGTACCAAAACTCGTGGGGTTCTCAATGCTGCTAGCTGGAATGGACAGCTAAGGGAAGGGATTTCTCGCTGGAGCCGGTTACACAGCATCTGCTGGGGGGGGTTCTGTCTGTCTCTGAAGGAAATAAGGGGCTTTCTGGAACCAAGGAATGGTGTTGGAAGACCCACATGCAGTAGCAGAGTGGGTGATAGTAAATGGGAAAACAAAGTTGTTTGTTACTGAATTACTGAGTGTTCTGTTTCGGGGAACAATTCTGTACTAATCCAAGCATTCACCACAATTGCAGCTGTTCATTCGGGGACAGAAAAACCTAAAGAAAAGAGGTGTAAGCAGAACCCATCAGGTGAGCTTGTCTCTCTGTTTCAGGCCTTTGTACTCTTTAGTCCTGTTCCACTCGGGTAATAGCAGCCAGGAGTCCTTAGGGGCTGGCCAACTCCAGCCAGCCCAGCCAGGCTGGTAGACGTGAGGCAGCACAGCGACTTCACCGGCTGCCCAGGGTTACCAGCCTCACTTGCTGCTCTGAAAGTGGCCACTTGCCTCTCAGCAGGTCTGCTCCTCATGTCTTGTCTTCTGCGGGTGGTATGAGGGGTTTGTCTGAAGCGTTTCAAAGCCTTGAAGTGCACGTCTTTAGATGCCAATAAACCGTCCGGGTTCCTGACTCCTCTAGCATCCTTTGAAAGCAGCAGCCTTAGATTGTTCCTTTTTTATTCCTGTCAAGCCCTGTATAGCCTACAGAGGAAGGACAGAATTATCTTCTTTCATGTCACAGCTTGTCACTAAAGCCAAGAAAGCTGCATCGCAAAACCTTCTGGCTGCAAACCTCCTCCGGTTAAGTTTTGCAGGAGGGGAAATGAACCTGTAGCATGGGAGGGGGCCTGGGAACCACTGGCAGGAAGCACACACGAGGGAAGAGTGGTTGTACTGAGCAGAACAAGACTTTAGTTCTGTCTAACCTGCTACTAAATACTGACCCATTGTTGCTGTGACGCATCTCACAGATTCTCCCTCTCATCTCCTTGTACCAGCTCACATCACAACTCATCTTTCTAAATCTGTTTCTATCTGAACTGCCAGCGTTTAAAGCACATGAGTAAAAGCTCGCAGTAAAAATCATAACAAAGCCAGAAGTTGTTACGGATTGATTAGTGAGTTTTATACAATTCGCTTGTCTTATTTTATTGTAAGAAGTGTCTCTGTCTGCACCACATGTATGGCCAGTTTATTTTAGTGGCTTAGCCTAGGGCCTGGCAGGCTGCAGGGGACTTGCAAGGTGCTCACCTGAACTTTTGTGTAAGCCTGGAAACCTGAGGAACCCAAGTGAGCTGCTGTGAACTGCTTTGAGGAGAGTTGGGCTCTGGTTGGAAGCACTGCTTTTCTGCGTTAAGCAGCGGGCAAGCTCCTCAAAACCAGACTGGTGCATGGGGATGTATAAACTCCTTCCTTTTTCCCCTTCCCTTATCTGTCCCTCTTTCTCTTTTCTTCCCCAGCCCTGTTTTACCCCTTGACTCTATCTTCGTGCTGCTGCCTGTGTGTCCCATTCAGTGCTCTCTTCCAGCTCTTGCACCAAGCCCGTTCTCTTTTTTCTTCATGTTCTCAGGAATCAGTCGAAATGTTCTCAGTGATAGCAGCCAGAGTGAGCATCACCATGTCACCCTGTGAGTGTCACTGGTGTTGAGGGAGGCCATGCAAAGCCCTGCAGGCATCTACAGGTTTGGGTGTCCAAGCAGATCTCTCAATAACTTCATTTTTGAAGAGATGACATGTCCTTACCTCACCATTTTCTTTCTCCCCATGGCTGTGTTTCAGCAGTTGGGACGAGCTCCATGAGGCTGAGTGTTCCTGTGGGTGATGCGAACCCTTGGGAGTAATTCTGGCATTGTCGGCTTGTCCTCTGTTGTGCTTCAGCCAGCAGATTGCGCCCAGGCGGGCAAGCAGCTGGTGATAATGTGGTTGAGGATGACAGAAGGAAGGATGCTTCCGTCCTCCCCGCTCCCATCTGCTGCTTCCCACCCAACTCCTGCTGCTGTGAAGAGTAGCCCTCAGGTTTGGGAGGTAGATGTAGATCCCAGCTGAGCAGCCTGAGAGCTATGTAGCTTGGCTTTGTTCAGTGCTTGAGTCCCTGTACCGTTTCCTCTTTGTGGATCAGAGTTTTGTGTCACAGGCTCAGTTACAGCGACAGCAAACAGAGCAGCAGGATGTTTTTTAGGCCACCCAGCCTGAAGAGCACATGAAGCTCTTTTCCTGTGTCACCAGCCTGACTTGCAGTGCCAGGGGCCGCTTCATGTCTGCAGTGAGGGGGAGGACAAGCAGAGCGGGAAGGTCATCAGCTAACGCCACCAGAAATAGACTTGGCTGTGATGCTGTAGGAAATGGGATGACTAGAACGGAAAATGTTGGATTTCAGATGCCTCTTCCCTATGCATTCCCTATTGCATCCAGTTCTGGAGCCCACAGTACAACAAGGACATGGGTCTGCTGGAGTGGGTCCAGAGGAAGGCCACAAAGAGGAGGACTGGAGAACCTCTGCTGTGAGGACAGGCTGAGGGAGCTGGGGTTGTTCAGCTGGAGAAGAGAAGGCTCCGGGGTGACCTAATAGCCCCTGCCAGCCCATGGAAGGGGCTGCAGGGGAGCGGCAGAAGGGCTTTTTACAGGGGCCTGGAGTGAAAGGACAAGGGGCAATGGCCTGAAACTGCAAGAGGGCAGATATAGATTAGATAAAGGGAAGAAATTCTTCCCCATGAGAGCGGTGAGGCACTGGCATAGGTTGGCCAAGGAGGCTGTGGATGCCCCATCCCTGGAGGTGTCCAAGGCCAGGCTGGACGGGGCTTGGAGCAACCTGGGCTGGTGGCAGAGAAGTGTCCCTGCCCACAGCAGGGGGGTTGGAATGAGATGATCTTCAGGGTCCCTTCCAACCTGAACCATTCTGTGATTCTATGACTCCCTGATTCTCTGGTTCTGTGCACAACCCCAACCCTCGTCACAGTGGACGCAGGTATTTGTGTAACCTGGCATCTTACTGCCCAGCTGTGAGGCAGGTGCTGCTTCACGGCTGTGTTGAGCCCTCCCCTCCACCTGGTGGAGGATCCATCTCCCACCAGGGCGTGATGGAATCCCGGGGTAGATGGAGAAGGACTGTGTAGCTGTCGTCCGCCTTATTAATGGGAAAGAGTCTCTCTTAAACTTCTTTTTTGATGAAACCGGCAAGTTTCACAGCACTTGAAAAATCGCGTCTGTTAAAATGTGTGGATTGCTTCCTTGTGCAGAGGTCCCAAGTCGCGTGAAGCTTTTGATGGTTCAGTGAGGTCCAGAAAACATGACATAACCTGATCCTGATCGTTGGAAATGGCTCGTTGCGGTGCCTAAGTTGAGTCTCTCTTAAACTTCTTTTTTGATGAAACCGGCAAGTTTCACAGCACTTGAAAAATCGCGTCTGTTAAAATGTGTGGATTGCTTCCTTGTGCAGAGGTCCCAAGTCGCGTGAAGCTTTTGATGGTTCAGTGAGGTCCAGAAAACATGACATAACCTGATCCTGATCGTTGGAAATGGCTCGTTGCGGTGCCTAAGTTGTCAATCATCTAACGTGCTGGAAAGCTGCTTTCAAGAAAATACTCCTTGGTGGTGGTCGTTTTGCTGACTCTTGCTATGTGCAGGGGGTTTCTGTCATAAAATCCTCAAGAGGCCAAACTATATTTGAAGGCCAGCTTGTGAAATACTCCTCCTGAAAAAGCCTGAGATTATCAGCCTGAGCACGGGAAGGAGAAAGCCCCAGAAAGGGGCAAATTCCTTGTGTGTAACCACACGTGGTGCTCCCCAGGCTTTAGGATCTCTCCGTTGTCTCACTTGTCTGACTTCAGAAAGCCTCAGAGGCAATGTCTGTCTCTTACTTAGTGGTACCCAGCCTTGATCTGTTGGTTTGGATGCTCTGGGTGATCCCTTAGTAAAATGCAGAATTTGCAGTTAGACTACCTGTAGGCTTAGAAGGCTGAAGGAAATTGTGAGACTTCAAGAAGCAAAAAAAAAACAAAACAAAGCAAAAAGGGAAAAGAAAGCTACTTAGTTTAGCTGCCTTAAAACACAGCCATCAAAAGGGAAAACTAGTTGAAATCGGCACTGTTTGTTGATGTCTAAACTTGTTAGATGTTATGAATGGAAAGGAGACAACGTTTAAAATAATGTAGGGAATTGGGAAATATTTTTGACTTTGAAGGTTGATTTAAGCTGTATAAATATGTCTCAA